GAGAGAGAGAGAGAGAGAGAGAGAGAGAGAGAGAGAGAGAGAGAGAGAGAGAGACGGAGAGGCAGAGAGAGAAAGAGAGAGAGAGGGAAAGACGAAAAAAAACGAGAAAGCGAAGTAGAGAGAGACACAGGCAAATTTTTTTTTATTTTTTATTTTTTTTTCAAAACATGCGCGCCATAGCTACACGACGCACCCTTATCTCGGCTCGTGCCACTGGCAATGACAGAGTTTTGACCGCACTCTCCCTCTGCCAGACACTCACGCGCACACACTGACACACAGACTCGTGCTCGCACACTCTCTGTCACACCCACGCACGTTCACACACACACACACTCTTGCTTTCCTCTCTCTATCTCTCTGTCTGTCACACCCACGCACATGCACACATGCACACATGCACACATGCACACACACACACACACACACACACACACACACACACACACACACACACACACACACACACACACACACATCGCGGACCGACCGCCAAACACTGTTGTGCCTGCATCTGGCCGTGTCATGCGGTCCGGAAAAAAAAAAACCGCAAATTCATAGGAAAAAAAAAAGGAAATTATTTTTTGTTTCGTAAACAAAACGAAAACAAAAGGCAAAAAAAAGAAACAAAACGACACGCCATAACAAAAAATACGAAACTAAACGATAATTTTTTTTATAAAATACGAAATACAAAAATAAAAAATAAAATACAAAGGGTGACCGGACACAAACCGACACGGAAATGCTATCCGATTGCGAGCGAGGTAAAATATTCATCCGCATCGACGTCCGCTGTATACCCGGCCCCGTGAGCGCTCTCTCTCGTTTAGTGGCGCGTTGTAAACAATTCGGTACGCACGCCACTCTGCATGCCCACCCCCCCTCGATCTTCTTCACCCGCCGGTCTGCACTGAAACTTCGACCCGATTCTGGCGCACAACAGACTATCGATTTCCCCCCCCGACTAATGTTGCTTAAGGGGTAGGATATTTTTAGAATTTTTTGCAGCATTTTCCTACCCCCCATGAGATAAAAAATGTGCCAAGAGGAAGGAGAGACTAAGTGAAGTACACAAAATTTTATAATGCCGCAAATTAAAATTTTAAGAAAAAATAAATAAAAAAATAAGAAAATTATGAGGTGAAGAAGAGTGAAAAGAAAACTAAGTTTTTAATTTTTCAAAAAATTTGATAATATTTCATTTCTCCCATGGGGTTGAAGTATGTCATCAAGAAGAATAACTAAGTAAAATGAAAAAATTTGGTCAGCACTTCGTTTAAATGTGTTGGAAAAAGACTAAGTAAAAAAAAAAACAGAAATTTCGGCAGCACTTTATTTCCCCCAGGAGGTAAAAATGTGCATCGAAAGCAAGAACGACTATGTCCTAACAAGATATAAAGATGCCCCCCAAAATAAATTTGCAAAATAAATAAAAAAAAAAATAAAATAATAAAAAAAAAAAACAAAGAGAAAGACGAAAGAAAAAAAACAAAAAAGTTCAAAGTGGGGGGGGGATGAAAAAAGTGATGAAGAAAGAGAGAAATAAGTGAGAAAGAGAAAAAATTGAAGTGATAAGTGAGGGAGATGATCGGGTTGTAGTTGGGGGAGGAAAGGGGGAGAGGAGAGTGAGCAAATGAGAAAGAAAGCTATGAAAAAGGTGAAGAAACAATGAGAGATTAGTGAAAGAGGGTGAACGAAGAGAGATGAAAGAAAAAAGATAGTGGAAGATGAGTGAAAAGGGAGAGGTATGAAAGAATAATGAGAAAGAGAGAATATAAGTAAGGAAAATAAGAAAGGAGAATGAGGAGAGGAAAAAATATAAATATATGGTAGTGGAAGGAAAAAAAGTGAAGGGCATCAAATATTAGTGGGGAGAAGAGAGAAATGAGAAAAGAGGAGAGAAAAGTGAGAAAAGGTGATGGATGAGTGGTGGGGAAAGAAAAAGGAAGGTCAGATGATGAAGGGGAGAGAGGGAAAAGAGAGGGGGCTAATGGATTAGTGATGGGAGAGGTGATACCCAACTTTTGGGTGACCAACAAAAAAAAAATTCACCGAGATCCACAAGATCTTGACCTTCACACACACCCCTTGGGATAAGAGGTCCTCAAGGTTGGTGATGAACTGCTGCTGTAATGGTTTCATGTGATCGGAAGGATCAAATATGCAGATGAAGAAACATTATCTGGGGTTGGTTGAGATCTTGATGAGTCAACCAGTTCCACTGTAGTGCTGCCCCCTAGCCAAGGCATCTTCAAAAATCCTCGGCAAGTTGTTGCATGCCACTTTTGGAGATTGCCACCGGCCAAGAGAGAAGAGGTAGAGGGGAAACACTCTTTTGCCAATAACTTTTCACCCGCTGGGTGAAATTTCCTCAGCAAGCTGCCAAGTGACACTTTTGGAGATGGTCAAGGGCCACGAGAGGAGAGGTGGAGGGCAAACACTCTTTTGCCAATAACTTTTCACCTGCTGGGTGAAATTTGGTAAAGGAGGACTTGTTGGAAAGTTTTTTGAAAATCGCTTTTAACGAGATAAGGTGCAACATCAGCCACTGCCTGCAGTAATAACGCTCATTTAAAAACGAGCGTCAGTGGTTTGGGGAACTTCAAATAAAATTGCAATCTTTGAAAGATCGTAGTTCATCAACCACCATACAGAATTAGACAACGTCTAGCTTGTTGAAAACGGCTCGTCGATAACTTTCTAACAAGCTGAAGAGCAAAACATTTGGTCCATCGGTCCAAAAGTTACTATTGAAAGAGTGCACCGGTGTCTTTTGCTCAAGTTGCATGATAATTGATGGGTGTGGTGGGGGAGGGGAGCAGGGAGGAAAGCCCGCTCTGGTACCGGTGTGACGGAAAAACCGGGATGGTGGTCCGTGAGGATCAAGACGAAGGGATGAGGATGAAGGAGATTGAGATGAAGATGGAAGAGACAGTGCAACTCTAACACTGACTTAACACGCACGTACTCCAAAGTGTGCAAATGAAGAATGAGCTGAAACATACTGCAGTTGGGTATACCCCTTGCGCACTGACTAGACTGGACTGGACTGACCTGGTACCGACAGTGGTACTCAGGAGGACTGTATTGGACTAAGTGAGCATACGGCCTGTGGGGTCAGGCCACGGTCTGGTCCCACAGGGCGAACAAGCAAAATAACCTGATAGGCCCTGGCTGTAGACCAGGGTAGATAAAGGCATCCTCCAATCGAGAAAACAACGTTCGACTGAGACCGTCTACGCCAGACTCTGAGATCTATGAATCCCGTAGGCGCCGTGAGAGGGGTAACAAGATACCCATTGTGTTCCTCCCGTACAGCGCATGCGCATCCAAACCGGCCATCTTGAGTACCCGACCATTAAAGTCGCGAATTGAGAAAGCCCCCTCCCATCCGAACCCCTCTGCAGTTCTGTCCTTGGAACCTTGGCACAGGAGATCCCAATTCTGACCTGGGACTCCACGTCACTTCAAACCCGCTCCCACTCCGATTAGGAAGTCGTGTTGGGCGTGCTAGTGAGGTTGGGCATCACATACCCGTGAGGTGGAACATTGGAGAAGGGAGAGTGGATCAGGGTCAGAATTGGTATCGAAGGCCTGAGGGGATGTAGTTTAAACCACCAGTACCTCCGAAAGTCGCGGCGGTTAACAAGCCGCGGGAACGCTGAAAGAACGGGCCACTATGGGAACTCCTAAATTCATCCGACTAGAAACACTTCTACTCTATTTTTTCCCACGACCAATATATGGGAAAGGTATATATATGGGAAAGGTACTAGTGGTTTAAAGACCACGCAATGTCTTGAATCTGCCAGCAGCCTGGTATGGAGTTGTGGGAAGGGCTGGGCGGCAGATGGAGGTCAACCTGCAGGACACCTTCCTTATAAAGAAAAGATGGCGGGCAGACCTGGCAACAGGTAGGCACATACGTGTGCTACGGACGTCCAGAACCTTCCCCCATATCCTGTGGGGTAAAAATTGAAGAAATGAAGGGCAAGGAAGTTGTCCTCCGTTGAGAATATTCAGTCACGAAGGGCTGCAAGCAAGCTGCCCCCTAAGCGGGTCTGCTGTATTCAATTGGTTTAATTTGTTTTGAAGGACCCACGTTCGTGGTGGGGGTAGTGGTTCGTGGTTAAGACTTACATGTGTGTACCATTTAGCCAGAGGGGAGGTACATGGCCAGGCCTATTGAACTACCCATAGGCCCTGGCGCCTCCGTTACGCACAGCCCGCGGCCAGAGCTGCTACTTGCAGTGGTCCCCACAAATTGCTGCAGCCTCTTCTATTTTTATTGGCCCTCTTTTCCCCCCCTCCCATAGCTGTTGTCGCTTCCTGAACAGGTCCTCACCACGGCAGTCATCTGCGGGCGAGGCCCTGCAGATTTGCCGCAAAGGATATAGCGTATCATCGAATCGCCTTCGAGTTCTGGCTGCAAGCTGTGCAGCTTGCTTTCGCTTTGGCCAGAACTTTTCCGCGTTCGCGCTTACGTCACCAGGCCGTCCTGTGGACTGGACGTTGGCGGATCTAGTCACGATTTTCCACCATTATCAACATCGTCACCACTTTTTCCTCTTTTCTCCCGCATTTCCGCGCGCCCTCATTTTTTTGGATATGTATATATATATATATATTAAAATGGGTTTGGATAAAATGGGTTTGGATATGTATATATATATATATATATATATAAATGGGCCTCGCCACAGCACTCGAGAAATTGAAAAAGACAAAAATGTGGCGGGTGGATGTGGTCATGTTCTAGCGGGAGATTACATTCTCATTTTGCATATTTCGAGAGTGGTGAGGCGATGCCGCCTGTTTTTCCAACAAAACACTCTGCTCTCGCGTCCTCTCTCTTTCCCTGCTTTTCCGCCTATCGTCAAATTTCCCGCATTTCCGCGCATCGTCAAATTTCCCGCATTTCCGGACCACTTGTACCGTGGCTGCCGCCAAGGCGTTTCGCGTTTCGCGTTTCGCGACGTGCGGGGTTTTCTCCGTGTGGTTAGATACGTTGCACTGTGCAGCCCTGAGGAAGGAAGGGGTAGAGAGGAGGTTGCACTTGCACAACTTCGGACTTGGGTGAAGCAGGGCCTCGTGTCCGGCTTTCCGGCGCCCGCCGGTCTTCGCCGACTGTTGCGCTAACAACTGCCATGATAGCAGCGACCGGTAGCTAGTGGTGGCGATGAACGGATGAGTGGTCTGCAAAAAAGAAAGCGTAGCCGACGCGCGAGCAACCTCCTGCAGTTTGTCTCTGGCCATAGCCAACGAGATCGAAGCGGACAGGTGTTGAAAAGGATGCAACATTGCTGTGAGGAGCTCTCTCTCGCTACCTCGTCAGTGCTCTCTAAAGCTCCAGTGGAGAGAAAGTAAGGAGAAGAGAGAAGGGGAGGGGGTTGGGGAGTGGAGGGCGCGCGGGGCCCGAAGAAGTGCCAGGTTGTTCGGCTGCCCCACTGGTCGGTGGGAGGAAGGTAGCTATGGCGGCCGTAGTGGCGGTAGAGACGGCTACTGCGTTCGGGTGCGCCGGCTATGGTGTCCTGGACCGGACCTCGGTGGCCGGCGTCCTTGCCACTCGCGGTGCCATCTCCTCATCCTCCTCTTCGCCCTCGATCGCTTCGATCGGCCATATCCCGTCCTTTCCTCCGGCCGAGGGCGGCATGGGGACCAGCAGGATGACGACGGCAAGGACGGGCTTGGCGGCGGCGGCGATGGCGGTGGCCCCAGCTCGACGACGCACTACGAGTTTGCGTTGCCTGATGAGGGGGAGAGTTCGTGGACCCTCCCTTCCTCATGGCGCAGAAGATGCACCTGTTGTCATCGGCCTGGGTTCAGGACTGGGGTCGATCTCACAGTCCCGAGGATGGAGGAGAGAGGAGAGAGGAGAAGGAGCGAGGCCCACGCAACAGGCCCACGCGGCAGTGTCATCTTTGTGCCCTGGCAAAGGGGATGTCGCCGGCGGCTGCTCCTGCTGCTGCGGATATGCCGGGGATTGCCTGCGCCGCCCGATCGGCTCCTTCTGCGCTATGGCTGTTGGGGGCGTGAGCGACCGGGGGAGGCGGAGGAGAAGGTTAGGTGTTCGGGGCTTCTTCGTCCGGGCGGCTGCCGATGTCGAGCTTGAGCTTGCAGACAGAGATGGAGGTAATGCCATGACAATGGCTGATGGCGAAGACATCCCTCCTTCCTCTTCTTCTCCTTCTTCTTCTCCTTCTTCTTCGTCTTCGCCGTCCGATCTGGTGTCATCGATGGCGGCGGAGGATGAACTGGGCCTCTCCTCACGGGCAGTGGAACTCGGAGCCAGAGTGGCTGCGGCCGTTGAGATGCAATCTCAAATCCCTGTGACCATGGCTAAGAAAGGGAAAGAGGATGATGACGAGGAGGACCTTCTCAATGACAACAGTAGTAGCTGGCTGCAGGAGCGCAGGCGGCGGAGAACCAGTCAGCAAACGACTTACCAGTTTGCCGCCATAGCCTCGACCATTGGATTTGCCATGGTCGCCGCCGGGGCTGTCTGGTACAGATTCATTTTTCAACTAGAGGTAGGGAGAGGCGGAGACGTTTTATTCCCTTTTTCTTTTTTGAATGAATGACCATTTATTGTATATTATACAAGCCCCGGGCCCAAGTCCCACTAGCAGCGTTGAGTTTCCTCAACGCCTGAATCTGGACGTATATTTGTGGAGATGTGCGGTTGAGGAAACTCAACGCGATTTCTGCACATCTCCACAAATACGTCCAGATTCGGGTGTTGGGCCATGCTAATCTTCTCTGTATCGTTCCAATTTCAACGGATGTCCCGAAGGACAAGTGGACTGGGTTTGTCTCTCGCACTTTCTTTCTTTTTTCCTGTGTTTATTTTTTTATTTTTTTATATTTTTAAAAGGGCGATGGCCTTGAGGTATTATCGTCGGACTAACCAGCCCAGGTAAATTCAATATTGTGTCTTATCTGACATCGGGTGGCCTTTTCAGCCCAGGGTGGCCTTGATTGCCTTCAGGGAACCCCCAATGGGGGACACCGGCCAGGGGACAGCCGGTAGCAGAGGGACCGAGCATCATCTGAGTGGCCAGTCGCTGTGCCTCCCTTCCCGATTACCCCTCCGCCTATGAACATCAGCAGACACTGCTTTTTAATGCCAATTGGGGGGACCAACGGGCTATCTCTAGGTGGCGGGCGCCAAGCATTCCCAGGAAGGTACATGAGGCCAATGGGGATTGAACCCAAGACCTCCTCCTGAATGCCACTTGCGTGCCTTACCAACTGAGCTAGGCCGCTGGATAATTTTTTTTTTCCTGTGTTTTTCGAGTGTCCTCTATGAATTTTGTTCTTGCTGTGTTCCTTCATTTATCTTTGTCTCTTTTTTTTTCAAATGAGGCTGGTTTGTCTTCCCCCCCTCCCCTCTCCCCCCCTCAGCCCTTCATTGACTGGTGGAGTCATTGCCGTTGTATTGCCCTGAGTCCTGGGCGCCGCCGCCGCCTTTAATAAATTGTAATTCAGAAACAAATGAAGAAGGGAAAGACAAGGATTTGAACTCATGATCTGTTTATCAACAGTTAGAATGCTAACACACATGTAACTGGAATTGCCCCCCTGCACTCCCCCTACCTCCCCCCACCTCCCCCTACCTCCCCCACGCAGCCCTTTTTTGAGTGTTTCCGTTCAGCTACCGAGTAGTTGCAAAAAGTGGAATTGCCCCCCTGCAACCCCCCCCACCTGCTCCCCCCCCCAAAAAGAAAGGAAAAAAAGAAAGGTAGAATTGCGTGTGTACTAAGGGCGCGAGGTAAGAATCTGGAGTACGATTCATATTGAGTCTTCTTCCCCCCCTCCTCCCCCCCCTCCCTCCCCCTCGCCCCCCCTCCCCCGACAACAGCTCCAATCTCGTCAGAGTCGGTTCACATTGAGTCTGAACAGATTTGAGTTGTTGTTCTGGAAAAAGAAAACATTGAGTCTGACTGAGATTTATCGATTTTTTTTTTTCTTTTTGATTGATTGACGTTTTGTGCGAGAAGAGTTAAAAACCAAAAAAGTTGAAAAAACAAAAGCTCTGCAAGTTATAATTGAAATACATACAATGTCATCAGAAAGTGATATCACTCCGAGAGAGAACATCACACCACGCTATGATAATCGCACGATTGATTGAAGAATAGCAGAACACACATCGGCTTCCTTCGGAGAAGGGTCAGCTGCAAGGCCCAGCTGTCGCGAGAAGAATAGAATAGTCCTTTGGGACATCCGTTAAAATTGGAACGATACAGAGAAAGAAGATTAGCATGACCCCTGCGCAAGGATGATACGCATAATCGAGAAATGGTCCAAATTCGTTTTTCTAACAGGAAAAAAAAAGAAGAGTAAAAAAATACCATGTCCAGTAGACAAGGTGCAGTGTATCACCGCAACAGCAACCACCTCATCAAGCAAGAAAAGTTAATACGTAGGGTGATGGTCCTGAGTGCTGGTCACACTGAGGTAGGATAGTAGGGATAGGGGATGCGCTAGGAGTATTGATGCGAGGATGGGATGGGCGGTGGCCTCGCCTCAGAGCGACCATGGCTGACCGCTTCCGGCGAACCGAAGTTACGGAGTCATTTTGCCGAGTTCATCGATGTGTGCCTAGTAACTGGCCTCTACAACACCCTGGACTTAAAACAAACAAACAAACAAACAAACAAACAAACAAACAAACAAACAAACAAAGGAAAAAAAAGAAAAAAAAGAAAAAAAAGACCAACAGGCCTAACTCAGTTGCACCCATTAACTGTTGAGATACAGGCCAAGTTCGAATCCAGAAGCGATGAGATAAACAGAATTAAGAAAAAAAGAAAAACAAAAGAAAGAAAAGAAAAACTGAAAAAGAGAAAAAGGAGGGAGAAAAAAGAAAAAGAGAGAGAGGAAAAAAGGAAAAGCTAGACGAGCATCTGGGTCTGGGCAGCGTCCCACTTACACGTGTTATGTGTTTCTGGCCTTGATCTTGTGAGTCAATCTAATAAGATCCAGCGCGAAGAATCTACTGTAGGCAATTGGAACCTCACCGCTTGGAGCGGTCTGGCACTGGTCCAGTGCCACGACGATTGGAAGCTTCTAACTGACATTTTGTTAAATTTGAAATATTTTTCTCGTGTGCCCAAATTGAGACGGAACTTTTTTTTTTTTTTTTTTTTTCCAGTGCCCAAGGCAACAATACAAGAGAACAGTATCGAAAGTTCAGGGTCCATGTCCCACATGCACCGTTGAGTTGAGCTACCTCAACGGTGTGACAGCTTTTCAAGCAATTTTTTATTCTGTAGAAAAGAAGAATGCATTTGTTTTTTATTTTTTTCCCCCGCCTGCATGTGTGTGTGTGT